TCGTCGCATGGACTTACACGGCTATCATAAGACCTATGTTTATATACGGTGTAGTTGTCTGGGTACCGAAAACCCAAAAATTAACAGCTATCCGTAAACTCGAACAAATTCAAAGAACAGCATGTCTCAACATAACAGGAGCCATGAAAACAACACCGACCAGAGCCATGGAAGTCATTCTTAGTCTCACTCCCCGTGATATTTACATCAAGGAGGTTGCTCTGACGACAATGACACGCCTCCGCACGGTTGGAATAGAACCTGATGTAGGATCTGGTGAGGCGAGACGTCGCTTTTGGCAGGAGGCGCTCGATACGCTCCCACTGCTTCAAGCGAACATGGACTCCATCTCACCGAGATATATCTTCCATAAAGTTATAATAGAACAAATAGAAGAGCCGGAAGTCGCAGGTACGATTCATATCTACACCATGATATTATTATAATAGTATCATGTATCTACACCGACGGTTCTAAAACAAAACAAGGCCCAGGATGTGGAATATACCCCAGATTCTTAAACCTAAACATAAAATGGTCTGTGAGCAATAGTGCCAGTGTAGTTAAAACAGAGCTAACGGGGATTCTCATAGCAGCAAAAGAAATAACCAGAAACAATATCACTGGAAGTAACATGCTCATCTATACAGATAGCAGATAAGCACTACTTACCCTGAACAGACCACGAATTTACTCAGGGTTAGTACTAAAATGTCACGAAGCTTTGGTCGAAGTATCCATCAACAATGTGGTCACCATAAGATGGATCAAAGATCACGCCACATCGAAAGGTAACCGTCTTGCTGATTCACTAGCCAAGAAAGCAGCCAACCAAATACTTTTTGGACCTGGCCCTTCTATTGGCCTGACAAAATCGGTAGTGACATACCTAATCAAAGAACATTCCCTTGTGAAATTCAAGGAATGATGGGATGAAACAAGATACTGCCAGGAGTTGCCAGGAAGCTCTTAAGTTATCCTGACAACACTACAGCAAACAAATACTTGACTATGACTAGACAGAATCTGCGCCTAGTCACAGGCATTCTGAGTAGTCATTGCCAAGTACGAAAGCATCTCCATGTCATAGGGCTGTCAGAATCCGCACGCTGCAGAGGGTGCGAACAAGAAGATGAGACCATCGAGCATATCCTTTACTATTGTTCGACGCTCTCATTTACTAGATGATTTGTGTTCGGCGAGTATCGGCTAACACCGGCTGATATAAGAGAAGCACCTCTTGGCGACGTTGTCTACTACATTAAATCTGTAGGCTGGCTCACGAGTTAGGAAGTGCCTATCATCTAAGGAGGATGCATAATGGGCCTAATGAGGCCTAAATGCCGTGGGGGTAACCCACCCTAGACACGTTACAGATATAAATTTGAGACATAAATACGTTAAAATGTCCTTAATTAAACCTATTTTTGAATAATAATATTTATAAAATAGTAAATAATAAAAACATGTTTAAAACTCAAATATCTTACAAAATATTTTAAGATCACAACTGGCCTCTTACACATTTTTTCAGTAACCACGATTTTGTTGACTGCAGAGTTATATCTTTTTGGAATTAAAAAATAAGCACTAATACTAATTATAAAATGAGTATAAATAACCTTTTTGAATATTTTGTCTAGTTTAATGCTTAATCATAATACTAACATAAATACTAATAATAAGGGAGTATAAATAGACCATCTTTTTGATATTTTTAACGATATGTTAATGAGTAATTTTGGAAATATTTTTTCCTATGTAATGTAGTCTATAGTAATAATAAGATAAATTTGTCTGATAAAATTAACTTGTGGACGTAGAGAAAATAATGTATGCATATTTCAGCACTTATTTTAAAAGAAAGATAAATAAATTTCTTCTAAAACCCCAGGATTAAAAAAACATAGGTACGGTCATGAAGTAATGTTGTACTATTCGCTAATGGTGCAATCAATAACACACTGAGATATAATGACAAAACTCAGAAGTAATTTATTTAACATTAAAGCAGTGGTAAGTTGGGAATAATTTCTGTTCACGTAAGCACACAGTGTATTGCTGGATGCTATTAATAGGAACTGTAATAGTCATTTTAATTCTTGTTTTTTCCTTTAAATAAGAAAGGTATAAATGAACTATTTAAATCAGGCAGTTCTTCACGCTGTTCTTTTAGATTATCAAACAGTTTTTTGTGTTAAAAATGTTCACTGTTGTTCTGAGAACAAATCAATTTTATTGTTTTAACGAGGTCCTTGGATATTATTAAAAAAATCTGATGTGTCCAACACATGACTTTCCTATCTAGTTATTATAGGCATTTTCCGGTTATTTTGTACAACCTATTGCAGCATCTCTATAAATGTTTAGAGGATAAACTAAATATATACATTTTACACATACATCTACCTCGAAACATTTTTCTATAGATATTCATTGAAAACGAAAATACAGAAAAATTTAAATTTAGCACTTTTCCATTACGGTCCATTTTAGAAAAATCATGTATAAACAAAAATTATAGAAATCGATATCGCAAACAATTTTCATAAAAATCAGAATTTTGCACATTTTGTCAAATTTCTCGAATACGGACCATTTCAGGAAATTTTGACATAAAGCAAAAATTATAGATAAAAATATTAGAAGTAACTTTTATTTGAACAATTTTCTTCTCCAAACATAAATAACATATATTCCATAAAATATAAAAACGGCCTCCCATAAAGTACCCCCCCAGATGTTCCGACTTTGTCCAAAATCTAATCATTTTACGTCAGACCGAAATAAACCTTAAGTTTAAAATTTAATGTTTTTTCCTCTATCCGTTTTTGAGTTTTCATCAAATTTCGAAATTTACACATTTTCTCAAATATCTCGAATACGGTCCATTTTAGAGAAATTATGTATAGGACAAAAATTATAAAGAATTATATTACGAACAACTTTTATTTAAACAATTTTTATAAAAAATTATGTTTTTTACATTTTGTCAAATTTCTCGAATACGGACCATTTTAGGAAAATTTTGCATAAAACAAAAATTATAGATAATTATATTAGAAGTAACTTTTATTTAAAGAATTTTCTTCTCCAAACGTAAATAACAGATATATTCCATAAAATATAAAAATGACCACCTATAAAGTACCCCCCCAGATGTTCCGACACTGCCCAAAATCTAATCAGCTCATTGGACGCTGAAACAAAGCTTAAGTTTTAAATTTGGTGTTTTTCTGTGTATCGGTTCATGAGTTATGCGTTATACAGACACACACACAGACACACACACACACACACACACACACACACACACACACAGACATCATCGCGAAAATAGTCAAAACGGATTCAGGGGACCTCAAAACGTAAAAATCCGTCGAAAACTCGAGGTCGAAAAAAATCATGATTCCTATACTTTCCTTATATCTGTATACAGATAGGAAAGTAAAAAAAAGAAATGTAAAATTAAAAATACGCTTCTGGAGTAATTAAGTAAGCAAATTAAAAGTTTATATTTAGTGAACATAAATGTATTGTATTTGCTCAGCTTTAGATGTGTCCAAGTGAACTAGTGAATGGCGTTAGTATGTGCAGAAGAGGAAATTATGAACTCCAACTGTAAATTGCAACATTGATACTTCGTCATAGAAAAATAAAAAGTACTGTGTCGTTTCTTTTCCAGAATTCGTGAGCCTAATTTACTATTCCATCCAACAAAGTAAACTGGGAGTGAAGGTTTGATCTTGTCAGCACTATACAGCGTGAGCCACTCTTCATTTATTAATAGTGATATCAGAATGATTTTTTGTTTAAAAGTTTGGAGCAAAAACTTTATTTTATCTGATTCAATTATTATGTGACGTCATGGCTTACTTCCGGTTTTCGAAAATAACAGAAAATCACAATATAATTTTTATTTTTAAATGAAAACCTTTGTTACTGTTAGACCTATTAAAAATTCCACCCGCTCTTAGTCATTATTTGAGATATCAAATTAATTTTTATTTTGTTTGAAAGCTTAGAATATGAACTTTCTTGTAACGGATTACAATTTATTGAACATTTTTGTATCAAAATCTTTTATTAAAAATGGTCTGTCAGCTGTTAAAATAGCCGCCAAAATGGATATTATTTCTAAATGTGTTACGTTTAAGGAAGATATTATGTGAATGGATTACCATTAAAAATGTTGTAAGGCTTAGTGTTCCCGTTAAGTAACCTCTTAAAAATCCCATCTACTTTTAGATATCTTAGTTAATATTTGAGACATTAAAATTTTTTTCACAGACTAATCTTAAATAATAACTAATATAAGAGTGGGTGGAATTTTTAAGAGCTTTACCAATAAAAAAATGCTTAGATACGCCACTGGTGTAATTTGGGTTAGTATCATTGGTGCTTGAAAAGAGTTTTCCATATTTTCTTCCTTCAACGAGTTATTAGTAACACATTTAGAAATGATGGTATCCAAATGGCGACCATTTTTACAGCTGATAGCATATTTTCAATTTATTGTTATTTCTGGAAAAACCGGAAGTAAGCCATGACGTCACATAATAATTAAATCAATTCAATATCTCAAATATTGATTGGAATTTTTAAGAGATTTAAGAGATTTAGTAAAAAATTGGGGGTTTCATTTAAAAATAAAAAAATTATTTATTGTTATTTCTGGCAAAACCGGAAGTACGTCATGGTATCACAAAATAATTGAGTTCGTTTGCTCCAAACTTTTAAACGAAAAAAAATATTTATTTTGATATTTCAATTAATAACGAAGATAAAAGGGGCGGCATTTTAAAGGGGCCCACCCTGTAAAACAGTCTGCATTTTAAAATCAAATGTAAAATGAAGTTTTTTAAAATGAGGCTTACCCCGCGGCGGTCATTAAAAACAAAGAAAATTATATTGTTTGTCAGGTAATTATAAAAAAAGGGTTAGTTAATATTTACGATTCTGGAATCATATTAGTTTTACTAAATTTTCTAAAAACTTACGATTTTTAATAATAATTTTAGCAGGTGTATGAGTGTTAATCCAAATAGTAGTTCTTTTACTCGTACCCTTAGATCCAGGTGTTGTCTTTGTAGTTGGTGTTCTGTGCGTTGTCCTTGTAGTTGGTGTTCTGTGCGTTGTTCTTGTAGGTGGTGTTCTGTGCGTTATTCTTGTAGGTGGTGTTCTGTGCGTTATTCTTGTAGGTGGTGTTCTGTGCGTTGTCCATGAAGGTGTTTTTGATGTTGTCCTTGAAGATGTTGTCTTCGATGCTGGTTTATCGGTAGGCCTGAAAGGTTTTCTTGTAGGCCACATAGGTACTACACTTGGATAATAAACATTAGGACATCTTCTTCTACAGGATGAAGTAGAACAAGGATCGCAATAAGTGTTACAACGCGTTGGTACATAATACTCAGGTAGCAAATATTGAGAAGGTATTACGTTTGGATCGATTTGGTATCCGTTTCGGTATCCATTTTGGTAATTTGGTTGAAACGAGGGTAATCGTTGGTACTGAGTGTAGCGTCTGCATCTGGCTAGGCGTTTTTCAATTTTTCTTCCGTGTTTATGTTTTTTGTGCGACTTTACTAGACGCGGCCATCCTTGGAAATCCGATTTTGTGTGTCTTTCTGATAATCCAAAATGTTGTAAATCTTCTGCTTGAACTTCAAACGCCTTAAAACTATGAATAACACACAATAATACGATAATCACTGTGAATAACACTCTTTTCTTCATTATACTGTTATTAAGGGTTCCTTAATTGAATCCATATTTAGATCCCTTTAAATGGGCTGAAAGTCAATTTAATTTTTTTCTAATAATTCAATATCTATTCTATTTTTCTATTTGTTAAAAGTATGTCATTTCCGCTCTCTGATATATATGTTTATTACGTTATCTTTATTTCCTTACATAGGAGCAATAATAATTATCATTTTAAATTTATGGACGGATTGAATTGAAAAGTAAAACAAATAATATAGATTAAATTTTGCATTAATATTGATAAATAATAAATGAATTAAAGATTAAAATTTTTTTTTTTTTAATATAAAAAATTCGTATTACCTAATAATTATAAAGATATACAAAAATGGAAATTCCTGCAAATTATATTATTACAGAAGAAAATTTCTATGAATGCTAATATTTCTTATCTTTATAATAGATGACATAAGCGAGTACAATATGCTGGTTTGTTTTTATCATGTACTAATATTACTATATTCTGAATCCTAGGAAAGATTATTAAACAAAATAAACAGAGCTTTCAAGTACAATTTAACGTTAATTTTATTTGTTTACAAAATTAATATTATTAGAGAGTAATTAGGCATTCCAACGACCTGTCAAAATGCTGACAAGTGGGAACTGACGTTTATAAATGGCAACCCTGTGGCCTGCTGTTATTGACAGGGTCAATGATACATATATTGTTGTATAAATTGCTAAAAGCGGGTCCTTTTGCGAGCGGCCATATTTCCTCCCAAGTGCTCATTAATCAGAATCAGTCTAGCAAAAATGTGTTTTAAAACCAATTATCAGCCTTTGAATATAGTAAAAAAATAATTACCTACATTTTTACTTCAAGGCATAAACTTAAGTTTATTTTGAAAAACATGGATGATCAATCTATATAACTGTCTATTTCGTTGACCCTGTCAAATCACTAGACTTACAGGGTTGCCATAATGTTGTCATATACCATTTTATGTGCCGTGAGTTTATTTATATTATAGAAACTTATTTTGCAAAGTATGCCTATGGAATGTGACGTTATATCCCCATTTTTACTGCACTCCTCTTTTATTCAGACTATACAATTATTTTCTGTCAAACAATGACACTTTGCTTTGCAATTCATATCCATGGTTACCGTTGAAAACACTAAGTTGATAGATCAATCAGAATTGAAAGACAGCTGGTGTTTTCCCGATAATACAAGCCGTCTGTGATTGGTCAGATAAGTGAAATAGTAATTATAACACTTATAATAAGTGCGTGAATACCAATGCTACTCTTACGGTTTTTCTATTATTATTATTATTTAATCATGTCAGTGAAACGTTTGTCATTTGTTTCCTGTTGCCAACAATAAGTTTGGTACGTTTAATTTGACAGTTTTTTATTGCCTATTATCTGAAATATCCAGTTCACGTTAATTAAACCATCGACTTTGTGGTTTAAAACCACCTTCATTTAAAAACTATTACCGATACAAAACATTGTATTTTAAAACGGTATTGGCATTTGTTTATCTTCACCAACTTGTACTAGTATTTCCTTTTCTATTTTTTAAATTTGTTTTTAAATACAATTTAAAAATTAAACAAACCAAACTTGCATTTTTGATTTTCACTATACGAATAATAACAGATCCAATGCTTTTCGTTCACTGTAATAGTCCATAACATAACCTTTTCTCATTTCTGTCTTTATATCTGTCACGGTTTAGAATATTGCAATCTTAGGCCGTGATAAAATAAACTTTTATACAGGGTTGGGATAAAGTATGAAACCAAGTAAATATCTTTAAAACGAAAAGGACGATATTTATGAAACTTTGCAGGTAAGTACAATGACGCATAACGCATCTGATGACATATTTTTTGTTACTACTGTACTCCCGGTTTCACCGGAAATACCCTGAACTTTTTTAATTTAAAGGGGACACCCTATATATTTTTGCAGATTTTAAAAGATCTTGTTATTCCGAATTCCTATATACTAAGTTTAGTGGAAATTATCTGTTAAAGTAATTTTTTCTTTTAGACTAATTAAATTAAAAAAGTTGAGGGTATTTCCGGTGAAACCGGAAGGATAGTAGTAGCAAAAAATATGGCATCAAATGGCATCAGATGCGTTATGCGTCATTGTACTTTCCTGCAAAGTTTCATAAATATCGCCCGTTTCATTTTAAAGATATTTACTTGGTTCCATACTTTATCCCAACTCAGTATGTATCATTTGAATATTAAAATTGGTTCTACTTAAATGTGGTGCTTTTATATTAATAAATTTAGATATATCCACTAAATCGATAATTTTCCCAGTGGACAGCTAAAACTCCAAATTTTCTTATAAATGTTTATTCAGTTACGATTTTTTTTTTGAAAATTTGTAGAATGTTTTAACTCATTTAATCCAAAAACATTTAAAATTGATTATATACATATAATTTCGCCTAATTGGTTTTCAATAAGCACAACTTGAGGAAATGGCTTTATTGCCATTATAAATTATAAATATTGTCTTATCTTGTCATATCTTCTTCAGAGCCCAATTAAATTCGATTGCGCCTATGGTACCTGTTTTAATTACGTATGTTTTAAGGCATCTTTAATCCAGACCCGAAAGAAAACTAATTAAAAAAAATGTGTACCATCTAGAAGTTTGTAGATACAAAAGAAATTATTTTGACATTTTTTACATTAAACGTTTGACACATAAGTAGTATTGCTTATCTATGAACTAGTCTTTGAGAGCTTCATACAAAGTTTCAGTCATCTATACTTAGTCTAAAACGTGGATTACGTCAATACTTTCTATTAGGGTCGCTATTGAACTTGGACTTCATAATATAAATTACAAAAAAAATTTGGTTCGAAAATCAGTATAAGTCGACTTATAAGACACGGGAAAAACGGGCTTATCTTCAGTTTCAATTGAATTACAAACGCAACATGTGGCACGAGTTAAAAAATTTAAGTTTTAATGTAGAAGAAACTACTGAATTACGTAGTCACTTATGTTCACCTGACACTATCAATGATTACTTTATTTCAGCTTCATTTTTAAAAATTACCTAAATAACACTCCATCTCCCCGTTCTCATTTGAGTTGGTAAACGAATTAGGGATGTACAAATTACTTTTGTCTATCAAATCTAATGCTACTGGAGTAGATCTAATAAATATCAAGATGATATTACATTGTTGTCCACTCATTGTGCCAGTGATTACACATATTTATAATTTTTGTCTAAAGCACAGCTCATTTCCAAACATCTGGAAAGAAGCCATTGTAATTCTGTTACCGAAAAAAGATAATCCTGCTGAGTTTACACATCTCCGACCTATTAGTATTTTGTGCCCACTTTCTAAAGGGTTGGGAAAAATTATAGATAAACAAATTCAAAAGTTTACTAATCTAAATAACATTATCCTAGCAAATCAATCCGGGTTTCGTCAAGGTTACAGTTGCTCCACCGCTCTGGCTAACATAACTTCCTCATTTATAAAAAGTTATTTATAGGTCCCAAAGAGTATTAGTAGGTAATTTATTTTCCTCTATGGGGTTCCTCAAGGTTCCATTCTTGGTCCCCTTCTTTTCTCTTTATATACGTCTCAAACTCATCTTCCCATTAAACATTTTACAGCTCATTTTTATGCGGACGACACGCAGCTTTACATGAGCTTCAACACTGATAATATCTAAGAAGCTTGCATGAATATGAAAACCTTGTCAAAATATCTGAAAAATTTAATTTAACCGTCAATTCAGCCAAATCTAAAGCATTAGTATTCGGCAGTAAACATCTTCGTAAAAAATACGTTAAGGATATTCACTTAAAAATAAATAATATTGAATTGAATTTCAATTCATGTGAAAAAAATCTAGATCCTTATCTTGACACTGAACTCAAATTTAAACAACATATTTCTCTCTTAATAAAAAAATCTTTTTTGCTGTTTAAAAATGATTTAATGATATAAAATTCCAACATTTCTTTATAAAAAAAATTCCAATTTCGATATCAAGCACACTGACTAAACACCAGATCATTGTCCATTCCCAAACACAGAACTGCTCTTTTTAAATCCTCCTTCTCCTATTGCATATCACAGTTATTAAAACTCTCTACCTAATTTTCTTAAATCATTATCATTGGTTAATTTAAAAAAAAGGTTAAAACATCTAATTTTGAGTGACAGTTTACCTATCTAAACATGATGAATTTGATGTCGTACATGGAGTTGTGAATTTTTTTTAGCTTTTTTATGACTATTATCTAATTATTGCTCAGTTTTATATATTATATATAATTTTTTACTGCTAAATTAGTTTATCGGTAAAAAAAAATTATATATAAAATAATATAATATATATAAATAATGTATTCTTTTTTGTAGGTTAAGTGGAAGAACGCTCTTCTTCTGATTTTTTTTCAGATTGAAGAAAGCGAACTTTGCCTGTTGCTCTACAGGATACCTGGTATTTCTTATCTTTTAAGTGATGTATTTTAATTCTTTGTAAAGGCCTGTATCAATAAAATCGTTATTATTATTATTATAACATAGATTTACTCAGTTTCTATATTTTTGCCTACATACGATAGATATATGGTGTTCTATTTAAAAAATACAGGTTGACATTACGATCTACGACCCTGTACATAACACATTTTATAAATTGAATGGAAGTTTGAATATTAATGATTTTTTCATAGCTGTTATAATTTTTTATATAAGGTAGTAGAAATTGCTATGTGAAACAGCCTCTTTGTACAAATAAAATTTTAAATCTAATCACCTGTAATACATTAATTTTATTTTTAAATTAGTTCCTTTATTTTAAAACAATTTATCTATTGTTATACTGCATTATTATAAGCGAATTATCATTTCTTTTTCATAAACGTTTTCGGTTGTCTCGTTATATGCGATAGATATTCGAAAGAACTTTATTAACAATACAAGGTACATATTTTGGTACGAAATTCCTACAGGAATTTCTTTGGTAGCCCCGAAAATCTGTTGGAATTCCTGAAATATGAATTTGTTTTGTATGTGTGTGTTGCCATTTTGATTACATACATATGAAGATTTTTGTAACATTGTAGTACACTGCTACATCTCCTTGTTAATGTTGTTCTCCTATATCTGTTATGACTCGTAAGTAAAAAGAGTATAAATCGACCTCTATCCTTTCATTACTATTCCTCTATTTTGCATACCAACTATTTATTTTACCATTCATTATCGTTAATTTCACATAATTCGAAGGATAATAATTAAAAATGTTTAATGCTTTTATTTGGATATAAAATAAATATTTTAGCATAGATCCCTTTTTAGATAATTCAGTGTCACCCCACAAAGAATAATTTAGTTTTCTGTCAGTCTGAAAAATATTCGCATTTTCAGAAGCGGAATTGAGAGCTTTAATACATCATATCTAGCAGTGCAATCGTGCCATGGTTTCGACAGCCTCGTGGGAATGGCTGCGCAATCATCCTTTCGGATTGTGGCAACATAGGTTAAAATTGGAGCAATTGACTCGTACAATTAAATTTCAGTGGAGACCAGACAATACTGATTTATAAAAAAAATATGGAAATGAGATGATAATAGTAAAAAATGTATATTGTTATAGATATTTCCAAACAAAAAAGTTTTCTGGGATTTATAATGATGGGATGAAATACGAAAAAAATTATGAATAATACTTCCAATTTTTAGAAAAGGTTATCTAAAGATGTATAAGAAACATGGAAGAGTATCTTTACTTGATAAGAAATATGAAAGCAATCAGTAAGAAAGACTAAAGTTAAGAATAAATCACACTTTGGAGGCAATTTAGATCAATAAGAGCAATTACGGAGTTATTTCTTATTCTCAAATAATTGAGATGAAGCCAGATGCCATATTATATAGAAAATATTAAGAGAAGGATAAATAAAAAACCATAAGCAATAATATAGAAATTATAAATACGAGAAAACCCTTAATTAAGTAAGAATTAGAATTATAAAATCACAAAGATTTGATTCTCTAAACTGGAGTAAGATTAGGAGAGACATCAAGACAATATACATACTGTAACGGAATGAAAAATACATCATAAAACATGGGTGATTTTTCAATCTAGATACCTATACACCTTTTGGTGATTATTTCGTCCTATAATAACAAAGAAAAACTAAGTTTTGCAGAACAGTTTGCAAATTTAACAAAAAAAAAAAATGAAAAAACCAAATTTATAACGAAACAGAGACAAAACAAAGATTTCAAGAAAATCTAAGTAGCAAATATTGTATTAGAATATGAAGAATTAAAAGAAATCAAATAATTTAAATATTTTGGAACAATCATATTTGAAAATGGGAAATCGAATCAGAATTAGAGCAAGAAAAGGAGCTGACAACTATAAAACATCCCAACGTTGATATATTGATCAGCTCTAAGCAAGAAATAAAGCAAAATAATACTTAATTAATTTTTTTATCTTATCTTAAGTGCTCTGATGTAACTTATTTTCTCTATATTTATTTAAAAGCTTTTTGTAGTTTTTGGATTAATAAATTTAGAGCCATGTTCTGTTCTTATCTTATCCAAAAAGGTAAGGGCACATTGATCCCAATTTTCCCCGGAAGTAACTTCTTTTCGGTAGTTTTTATATAAAAATATTTTTGATTTGAAGCCAAAGAAGGCAGCAGAGCAGCTACAGAATTTTGACTTGAAACCTGTGCCATATTTTTAGACTATTTTAAGGCTATTTTTATGCCCTATTCAAAAAATTTATGCTCCTTGTTTTTTGCAAAAATCAAGCTGCTCTGCTAGCTTTGAACAAAGTCCGCAGAGCACTTCGATTTTTTTATTTTTTTTTTCTAAAACAACAACACCAAATTTTTAGTTAGGTTATTTTTAGGCTCTTGAAATATTATAAAACTTTTCGGAAAAAATTAGTATTTTTTTAAAAATACAGGGTGCTTTGCTAGCTTCGAATGAAGTCAGTCTCGGTTTTTTAAAGTCTTTTTCTAAAAACAACCACGTCATATTTTTAGGCTATTTCTAGGCTCTCGAAATATTATAAAACATTTAAAAAAAAATGGAATTTTTAAATAATACAGTGTGATTTGTTGTAACAAAGTTAGCAGAGTACCTCGTTTTATTATTATTTTTTATAAAAACAACTATTTATGCCACATTTTTAGGCTTTTGAAATATTAGTTAACACGAAAAACTACATCTTAATTACAAAAGACATTGATGCATCTTTTCCTTCTTGGATGAGAGTGAACTTAAATATTTTTTTAAATATAGCTTTTAATGGGCCCATCACAACTTTTAAATAAAATGTATGTCGATAATAAAGTCTTAATAAAAATAGTAAAAGTTAAGTAATAACTGACTTAACTTTTTGTTAATAATATCGTTCTTTCAAAATGAAATTTCATTTTGATAATAATTGATTCAATTAGGTTTATTTTTAATTTCAAATAATTGGGGGACGTATTTTCTTTTATTCGAGATTCTTTTAACGGTTGACCAATAGAACGTGTGCAAAATTTTACCCCAAAATTATTATACTAATTATTTTAAAAATTTAAAATGGTTTAGAAAAATAAACTGTCTTATTTTTGATATAGGTGTTCCTTTATTACTTCAGCCCTACTAAAGATGAAAAACAACCACCATAAAATAATAAAGGAATGTTAAGATACATCACGTTTTGCTTTTTGGATTTTTAGGAACTTTTATTTAGTTTTTTTTTTGTTCAAATATCTTAATCTGCCCACGGTTGTTAAGTTAAGCTGAACTAAAAAGTTTAAACTGCTAATAACTACTCTAGTTGTAGGAATCTCCAATTGATATTTGTGCGGTTACACTCGCAATATTATAATTCTTTAATTTAATTTATATTAATCACAAATAATTTAAAAAAAAATTCAATTGACTATCAGCATCTATAATTTGAACGTAGAACCAACCCCTAAATCACATATTCAAACTGAGCATTAAAGTCACCAACCAAGCACAAGTAACCGCTAAGTCTTTTCAAAACCGCGTTGTCGATGTTTCAGATTGGAGCCCGGCCGTAACTCGTGACTGACCGCGGTAAAACTTAAGATTAAACTAAACCAATATCGCGTGAGTTGAGTACCGCGGATCTAGCTCGCGGTTCCTTATCTCATCAAGGTACTGTTTTTGTGCGCGGCACCAATCAAGTGCCGTTTGGTCCATTCAATATCGAGTCGGTACTGTTAAATATTCAATAGGGTGATTTATTGGAATATATTTATTTTTTATTTTATTCTCCATAAAACGGAATATTAACGGGCAAAACTCAATATGTTGTCCACAGATAAATTATATTTATGAATATAGGGATCTGAAGATAAGCGGTACGCCACCACCAGTTAAAAAAGGAACTGCTAATGTATGCATTATTGCGAACTTGAGTACATTTCTGGTAATGTTTTTACACAAAACAGTGGCCAGTTTTCGATAATTTTTTCGTTTTAAATTAAGATTTTATATTGCGTTTAAAATAAAATCAATTTCAAAGAGCTCGCAGTAACTTGAATTAAATTACAATGAATAATAGCAAATTATTACTTTTATTCAGTGTCACAGTGAATCTCATGAAATAACAAAAATCCCTACCTTATTTTTTATTAACTTCATGATGTTGGGAAGAACAAAGTACAGAATATTAGCGTTTCACAAAATAAAACTATTCGATATATGATAAACCAGCAGGTACCTTTTAAGGAGGTCCTTTGTGTTAAATAAAAAATATTAGATTATGACTAAAATTAATTTTTTTCTAATAGTAGATGTCCTTATTTATCTAATACTGAACTTTTAACTATACCTTACCTTGCAAATTTTTGAGAAAATTCCACACCTGTAATTTTGAACCAATCAAAATACGTGTTTTTGACAGATCACCATGGCAACGGAGGTATTTTAGTGGAAATTTTTTTCTCGTGGTGTACCCAACAGCGAATTATACTGGAAATTTTTTGACGTTTACAATAACAGACCATTTTTGACAGACTGGTTTTTATTTGTTCACATAATAGGTTTAGTTTTGATACATTTTAGTTACAATGCTAAGGTGTTTTCTATTTTCTTCGGCCACTTCTTTTCTTCTTAATGGCGAAAATGCAGGACTTTGGATGCTTTGAATTATGTGTCTATGTCTAATAAAATATATATAATATTTAGACACTAATTTATTCACCTTTTTCCCATTCAGCACTTTGAATTTTGCGTAGTTTAGGTGCAAATATTCGTGGACAATTCGGAACAAATTTTCGTTTTTCAAGTTGGAGCCACAATCCTCTATTAATCCGAGTAAGTAAGTCATGGTGCAATGATTGATCATTACATCAGACAATTTCACGCATATTTTGCATAGCGTATGATTTTCAAATCGATTCATTTTTAAACAAATAGGTAATTTTGTTGGTTTTACTTGCTGTGCAATATTCTTTATCGCAACAAAACGCGAGTTATTTAATGTTTTGAACTGTCAAAATACAATGATCACAGCCTCCTACGATTGATGCTTACTGACGCTGGGTATGAATTTCATACCATTTTAAAGCGCTCATAACGCATGTTAATAAAAACGCAGAAAAACAATTTTCTACCACTTGTAGTTATTCAAAACTTACGTAAAATTAAAGAATATACTATTTTCTATTTTCAAATGGTATTCCCATGCAACTACAATGAGTAGAAATAAGCAATTTGAAGGCCTAAATAATTGCAGCGAAACATTTTTTTACGTTGGGCCGCTTGACAACTTCAAAACTGAAATTATATTCGAGGTTAGGGTCTCACTTAGTTACCATGACAACTCAACAATCAAGGCGACAACACCTTTCATGTTTCACTGGTGACTTGGAGAAAATAATTTGCATTGTTGAAAAACGAAAAATAAATTTTAAAAATATTTAATTTTCAACCATAATTCGGCGTGGAATTTTCTTACCGAATACCACGCGAGGTCAAATTAATATCAGGACATTTTTTGACCTCTAGTGGTATTACTAGTGAAAATTTTTTTTAAATGTGAGTATTTGTACAGTGCCTCACGAGAAAGTAAGTCCTCAACAACAATTCTCGAATTATACTATTATTTATTGATTAGATGGAGTAGAAAAAAACTAAAAATAAGGTTTTTGAAATATTTAGATTTTGTTATATACAATAAAATATATATAGTAAACCGTGGAACTTATTGAGAAATTAATATTAAAAAATCACAAAAAATTATCAAGTAACCTAGTTGAAAATTTTTTGTGATTTTTTAATAATAATTTCTCAATAAATTCCACGGTAACCTTTATATTTTATTGGAAAACACAAAACCTAAATATTTCAAAAACCTTATTTTTAGTTTTTTTTCTACTCCATCTAATCAATAAATAATAGTATAATTCGAGAATTGTTGTTGAGGACTTACTTTCTCGTGAGGCACTGTACAAATACTCACATTTAAAAAAAAAATTCTCAAAAATTTGCAAGGTAAGGTATAGTTAAAAGTTCAGTATTAGATAAATAAGGACTTCAACTATTAGAAAAAAATTAATTTTAGTCATAATCTAATAACTTTTTTTTTAACATTTGAAGCGAGAGGTGTGGCGAAAGGACCTCCTTAAGGAATGAAATTGTAGAACCTCTTGCTTCTTCATACGCAACAAAGATTCACGGGGCCCATAACCTATTAGATTATTGATAAACCAGCAGATGCCATTTAGGGAATGAAATTGTAGAGGTGCAGAAAATGTATATTTTTACTGACAGGCATAAAAATAAAAACAAAAACTACAAAAACTTCTTTAATTTTTGGCTTAATTATTTAAAAAAAAAACAAAGTTTATTATAACTCATAGTACCTAATTGATGAATAAGAATAAGAATAAGACTTTATACGATAAGCAAAGCCGAGGCCTGCCGCTGTGTCTGGCGGAATGTTAGACCCTTCGAATGTGTTTGAAGAGGCACTTTATTTAAAAGAAAAATATTCCTACATAAATGTATAATATAGAGAGTCAAACAATATTGCATAATTTTAACTATTAAATCTTCAAGTAAAAATATTGTACAGTATAGATACATACAGTATGTACAAAAATAACGAACTAATATTTTACCTACAACAGATTTTGATACTGGAAAATACAACAGGAAGACATATTGAACATCTAATTAAATAAAATTAATAAGCTATCTATTCCTATTAATTATTTTGGCAATAAAAATGTTTCTACAATTTACCTTTTTTAAATGAATATAACTTTCGAACTGATAAAGTTAGCACTATGCGGTTTTAACGGTTGCATTAAAAACTTATAGATTACGAAGAACAAAAATATATACTTGCCTTATTTTGGAGTAATGCTGTATATTTATAATTGTCTTAATCTAATAACTTCATTTATTTTATAAAATCTTTTTTTGTAAGAAATCAAAATATTAACAAGTTTCGTTACTTTTTGTTACATTTTTCTGTTACTTAAGTTTTTTTGGCAATTCATAAAATTAATTTTTTCTACAATTAATATCCAAAGAAGGCTTTTGCGCTTCGAAATCCAACCACAAAGTTGACGTTTTCCGCGAATTGACATTAAGTGGCAGCTTTGTTGCTCGCCTAATTTAAATTAGCTATAATATAAAAATTGTTTTTTTAATAAATGATTTTAAAGTTATTTGTACGTAGTTACATGTTTTTTTGTTATATTATCCAATTTAACATGGACTTTGAATATCAACTGTTTTTTTATGAATAATATAGGTATAGGTAACACATTATACACTACTTACGACAAATTTTCAGTTTTTATATTTATTTCTAAAAAAATGTAATCGTAGAAAAAATCTTGTGTGTATTTTTTGAGCGAAAAGTTCGTTGCCGCTTTCGACAGATTGCCGCGCGGACAAATTTCTGTCTCAAGCGGCAAACTCTCACTTTTCGCTCTTAATACACAAATAGCTATTTCCATTCAAGTCTCGCAACGAAATATACATTCGGTTTCTTATAGAGCGGCGATTTACTTCGTATTTAACTGAATTGTTTCCTATTTTTGACAATTATTTGAAAAATTGTCAAAAATACAGTTCATCAAATTTCTAGAGGTGTTCGACGCCCAGACAGAGAACGCGCTACGTGTGACTAAGATAGCTATTGTACAGTCTGCTAAACAAGTTATTTTAAATAGTTTTTAATATTTTTAGGTAATTAAATTTTAAAAGTGTGGAATAGTTTAGGGATTAAATTGGTCTGATTGGACTTTCTTAGAACGTTTTTAAAAGCAGCTAAAGATAGTATGTAGAATTGAAAATAATTATTATGCCATAAAAGGTGTTTTGGAATTCCTTCAACCTTTTGAAATTGAGTCAGAAAATATAAATTTTATAGGATAGCGGAAAATACCTATAATTTTTTTGTAGGCCTTTGTAAATCGTGCAAATAGTTTATATTTTATTTCTACCTTATTAAGGAAAATGGTACCTATTATTAATAACGGTTGTTTCTGAAACATTACTAAAATTTTCGAAATTTTGTTTTTCTACAAAATAATAAACTATACTATTTAGAAAAAAATTTATTTCTCTTATAATTTTATAAAAAATAACAGGGGAATATTTACATTTCTTGATCTATTAAACAAAACGATAAATTATCTCGACGAATGACACCATGTTCTAGTACGGAAGCTAGCTTTACATTTTTGTTGGTGGTTTCATGGGTTTCATATCAATTTTTTGTAATTGTAGTTTACACGTACATATACCTCTTAACACTTGTTTGCTTTATTAAAAAAGTGTGATTTACGTCGAAATAAGTCAAAAACAACTTGAAACCCCATATAAAATCAAAAAGGAGAAACGGAAAAAAATTGAGCCTGTAAATGAACACAATTCAGAAACAAAAATAGCTATCTAATAATAAAAAAATAAAATTTGATTCTTGTGCAACTTCATCTATATCATTAACTGTTTTTGGTTTTTTAATGGTTTTTCTTGGTGATGAAAATTCCGATATCTCACGGTTATCGATTCTTTTTTTCTCTCCAGAAATGCGGACGACAGTGTTTTTAGATACTC